CATAGGGAAGTTTCGGATCTCCCTTGAGAAAGGAAGGTTATCATCATCGTCGTCAATCTCATAAGACCGACAGGGCCCATCTGACCCTTCATCATCTTGAATGTTCTGGGGAGGTGGAGGTGCTTCTCCTCAACTCCCCCAATCTACTAGGTTCCTCCTGTCCCTCCTATTTCTAGGAGGAGGAGGAGCATGTTCTTGTTCCTGATCTGGCTGAACTGATCCTCTCACTGGGCGGACCCTATTGCTAGGACCCTTCCCTATCCAGTCAAAGACGCTTACCGACCTCTGTTCCTCATATTCTTGAGGGAAATTGTCCCCCAAGTGTGGTTCTGATGGCGGGCTCCTTTGTATTTAAGATGTGGCTTCGACGTCCACCTCTCTTTCGAGGGGGCGTTCTGTATGCTGGCGCATATGGCCTCGGGAGCGAGATACAGGGGTTTCCTGCACCGGATAAGATCCTTGGGGCATTTGATAGCCCTGATGACTCTAGGCTTGCATGAGAAGTTCATGCATCGCCATATTCTGAGCTGCGATGTCCCTCATGCCCGCCACTATTTGAGCCATCCCTTCAATGAGCATGGCTGTTTTTGCGCCTCGGCGACGTCGGTGATAGGGTCTCTGGTGAGTGACATTGTTATGGAACACCTCTTCTTCAGATGCCTCTCTCATGGGGTTGTCGTCTTCATGGCTATAACTCATCCTATCTCATTTTTCAAGGGTGGTGAGAACTTGGATTATAACTCGACTTTATTTTTTTTCAAGAACATGCCTTTTTCAGAGTTAGTCGCTAGTTTTCCGGTGATTTCTCCTGTGGAGAATGCAGAACCTTGAACGGGAAGTGTTTCTCACAGACGGCGTCAATCTATTGACCTCGAAAATTGAACCATCTACGTGGCCAATTGAGAACTACTCTACGTATTCTTCCCTGTGCACAATTAACGCACGGTCAGACGCACACGGCCGGGACCAGCGGGGGTGGCGGCGGCCGTATACATTCCGACGGACAAGTCAGGTTCAGGTGGTTGGAACAGTACCCAGGGGTTGTGCAAAATAATAAGGGAGAGGAGAAAATATATTTGTGCTTGCTTTGGAGTGCTATGTAGTAAAAGTTTCATTACCTTTGCCTCTTGCCAACCCTTGGATATCTATAGGTGGGATGAACCGTTGGATGTGGGGTACGTGTATACATCTGACGGTATAAGGCGTCTGCTCATAGGCGTCAATCAGCCGCGTCTGTAGAGTGGACGGGTAATTACTTCTCCCGAATTGAATTGACATAAAGTTGATAAATCACATTAACTAGTCTCATGGTGACGTCAAATCAATTTAAACCTTAGGGGCAAAAAGAATCTTGACAAAGATCTCCTTCTGAAATTGACAACGGATCTTCTGACAGAGGTCCCCGGAGTGCACTTTGCCTCGGCCTCAGGGGCAAGGGCACTTCGATCAGTTCAGCAAGATTGCCTATGTCTAGCAGTGTGATAGCAGGTCGTTGATATAGGAGAGATCACTTCGAAACCACTTCGGATGGGTGTCTAGCAGATCGGAGTGTGTGGTGGTGGACATTCCGAGGTGGTTCAAATAGGGGCGTAACACATGTTGTGTGTATTTGAGAGAGCAAAGTCTAAGTATTTAAGATGGCAAGCGGATGGATATTTTGAGATTCAACTAAAAAATGTGAGTTTGAACCTATTTTTTGTTAAAAAAAATCAATACCTGAAATTGGTAGAATCATGTATGAGCCATTTATTATCGTTTAACCGACCGATTTATCGAGTCTTGTACCCATTTTTGAATATAACCGTATCCAACTATGGATTGGTTGCCAAATTTCTCAATTGAACATGCCGGTTCGATCCGATTTTAATAACATTGCAAATTATCATAACAATTAGTCGATCAGGAACCCTAAAGTAAAACTTACATTATTGAGATCAAACCAACTCGTCTATGTTGGGAATCTACTTATACATGCACAGCGGAATTTAAAATAATTTTCGATTCCCACCAAGAATCGCCTTTGTGTTTAGATAGAAATTGTGATAAGATTGTACCTTTTCAGATCTGCAATCTTTTTGCTTTTCTTTTCGTTCCATCAACCTTGATTTGTCACCACAGCTGTCCAATTGTCCAGCCTCCAACGGTGATCCACACAGAGAATATGATTGCAACCTCTAGGGTTTTCTCTTGTGCCAGCAAGAATAATGAAAACCTTATGGACCTCAAACCCTAGTTATGTATTTATATAAAACCAAACAGGCTCGGCCCGATCCGGTCCAATAATTAATTAATCCAACTAATTAAACCCGGTCCGTGAATTAATTAATCCAATTAATTAATTCGAAAATATAAATAACAAATTCAATTAATTAATTTATCCAACGATTGTTAAATTAACCAATTGGCAATTTGCAATCTTCCAATTCTCTTTTGTGTGTGACCCATTAGGTTCTCGACCACGATGCCTAACGACGTGAAATATTATTTTGATCTAATCAAAATTGATAAATTAAAACACCCTTTTAATTTATCATCAATTCACACTCGCCGTCCCTGATTGACATCTAGCAATGTGTCAGGGCAATACATGTAACGGGAAATGTCACGTGGTATGACAAAATCAAATTCGTTCGTTTACCGTGAAACTATAATCCCTTCGTCAATATGATCCGATCAATTACGAGATATGGAATTGTGTCAATCTCGATCATCGATCATATCTTTCACTCCACTATTAAGTCAATATAAATCGAAAACTCCTTTTCGACTTATGAGTACACCTTGGCCAAGGATTTCATCATCGACTTAATTGAATGAAACGCAGATCATAATCTCCTACTATTCAAGAGTGACGAATCATTTATTGATCAATCACAACCTTCATACGATTCTTGACATACCCGAACGATATCGTATTAGCGGCCCTTTTCAGAGCAACATCCAACACCGCAAAGTATGACTGTCCTCATATAAGGTACTATAACGACCTCAAGTCAAAGGACCAATTCCACTACCGAACGTTAGAAATTAACCACTGACATTCAAATAGTTATCCATGTGGAATCTCTCGACGGGTCTCCAATGTTTTGTTCTATAACAAAAACATCCACGTGTTCATTTAAGTGTCACCACACTTTAACTTGTGAGATCAGCTACTTACTTCACAAGTAAGAAATGCCACACGTGATGGTCTATCCGTAATAACGATATCTGTATCTCGTTATTACTTACGACCACGGATGATTTAAGATTCAATCAGATGTAATTTGTATCTCACAATCACAACTCCTTGTAATTAATAAATTATGAAGATTTGAATCTACGGACTCTATTATTTATTTAATTGTCTATTAATTAAATAATAGATCTGCCATTTAATTGTATTAATTATATATAAAAGTATTTATGTCCAAAGTTGATTGGACCTAGGGCATAATACTTACAGTCTACACAATTAAAAAAATATTTATTTTACCAAAAATATATTATTTATTTATTTAATATATATACTTCAAAAAAAGAAAATATTTACTACTCGTCTTCTATTGGTTTTAGGGAATAATGATATTCTTATAATATCTTTCTTATCTATTTCATAAATAATTTATTTTAAAGCTTAAATTTTATTGTTGAAATTCGGCTTAATTTAGTTATTTAAGACTGTATTGAGACAAATGTATTTAATTAAGACTAGTTTCAATTTAAGTGTAATGTTTAGATTTTGCATCAATATATTTATTTTTCGACTTGTTTGAAAGATGTATTTTGTGTTGCTAAAAGGTCAAACTAAATTGAACCGTAAAAAATGGTTTGGTTTGAAAATTTTCCAATCAATTTAAGAGGTTTGGTTTGGAAATGGTTAAAAAAAGGGTAATTAGCACAAAAAGTCCCTACCTTTCGATGTTTTCGTGGAAAACGTCCCTCTCTTTCGTATTTTGTCGGATTACACCCTCACTTTTACCTTTTTTTGCTCAAAACGTCCTTCTGTCAACTCCCCATTAAAATGCTCCATTAAATCAAAAGATAATTAGCACAAAAGGTCTATACCTTTTAATGTTATTGTGCAAAACGTTCTTCCCTTTTATTTTTTGACATAATTAGCACAAAATGTTTTACCTTTCAATGTTATTATACAAAGTGTTAATACTTTTTATTTTTAGCATTTTCACCCCTACCTTTCACCTTTTATTGCGCAAAAGATCCTTTTCATCCAATTTTTAATAACATGACGATTTTATTCTCTTATTCAAATAAAACAAAAAGAAAATGCTAAAAATGGTGGGGGCGACAACTGTTGTGGGTGGTTAGTCATCGGCAAGGAGGAGGTGGTGGTGTAGGCTATCTAATTGTTGGCTCCTTTTTTATTTCTTTTCTAATTTTTGGTTTATTTATTTAATGTAGTAATTGTAAAATTACTATTTTACCCTTTTTGATTTGATCAAAATTAGTCAAAGTCCACTTTTTTGTTCAACTAACGGTTAAATGGACGATTTTCATCTATTTGGACCCTGAGTGCATATTTTTGAAAAATTTGGAATTGTTGATGGCACAAAATGTAGATTGGGATAAAATCTACAAAAAAGAGAAAGGTTAAGGACCACTGTTGCAATTTTCCCAAAACAAAATAATAAGCCTACACGTTGAATCTTATTCAACTCCATCTTTCTTGCATTTCCAGTATTGTGAGAGTACTTTAATTGTTTTTCTTAACCTGAGTACTTCAAATTTATAGTGTGAATTTAAAAAATAATAATAATAATAAATTAATTAATTAATTAATTAAATAAAGCGTTACGGCTACCTGCCAATACATCTTTCATTGTGCTGCACTAAACAAAATCAAATTAATTCAAGCATCAAAGACAAATTTATAACAGAGTTCAATGCCTTCGTAGACCACACAATAGTATCCATTGAAGTGAATCTTCTAATAAGAACAAGAAACAAAAGTCCATAAAGCGTTACGGCTACCTGCCAATACATCTTTCATTGTGCTGCACTAAACAAAATCAAATTAATTCAAGCATCAAAGACAAATTTATAACAGAGTTCAATGCCTTCGTAGACCACACAATAGTATCCATTGAAGTGAATCTTCTAATAAGAACAAGAAACAAAAGTCCAATTCTCTCAATAACTACGGGTACACCAGAGAGCAAAAACTTTAAACAGAAAAATAAATTTACTCTTCATCCTCGATGACTTGAGTGCCCAATCCCTTGAGCCCACCTTCGGGAATTTCGGCAACAGTTACCAAAGAGTAAAGTTCCTCCTTAGCATCTTCATCATCATTTCTTTTGCGTGCAATGCGGACACGGATTCTTCTTGGCACACTTCGAATTCCACGGCTCCAGATCTGTTTGTTCAACTTCACGTCGACTCTTACATCAGTTGTGCCCATTGCCTTTTGGGCAAACTTTCTGATTTCCTTAATGGCTTTGGGAGCCTTCTTCTTGAAGGTGCTGTACTCAGATCCAAAATGTAATGAATTAAATATACGAGGTGTAACAAGCAACTTGAGCTGAAATGAAAATATAACAAAGCTGTCATAGGCAAATTGTGAAGTAACTACGGTAAGAAATAAAAATATGATGGCTGTAAAAATGACAAAACAAGTTAATCAATTGTTTTTGTTAATGATCCAAGTCCCCCATATAGTTTAGAATTTCCGAGCAATTGAGCATTGAGGGCTTTATTTCCTCCATCATCTGTGCTGGAAATTTTCTTCCGACTCAGTGACAATAGAGACCGCAGAGGAGTAGAGCAGCAGCAACACAAACTTACATTATCTGGATCTCGCTTGTGCAAGACCAAACTGTGTGTAATTTGGTCGAACAATGAATGTAAGTGCCATCTATCTTAGAAGTGGACAAAATTTTTAGTTCAGATATTTAGGGATTTTAACAATTTCACACTTCAGCTTTTACAACATAACCAATAAAGTATCCCACTTATGGCTACAATGAACTGTCAACTAACAAAAAGAGTACAAATCTACATTCAATTGATATGATTTAGTACAGATATTCTCCTGTTGTCGTTGTTCCAACATTTAAGAGCATCAAATATCAGTGTATTTTTAACGTACAAACACAAATCCTCTAACTCGTGGCCAAATACATACCAACTAGTCTGCTGCAGGAAAAAAAGTGAAATCACTTAGCATACCACACAGATACATGGCTACGAATGTCTTTCCATTACCAGAAATAATGAGTGTCAATAAGTAAAAGAGGCAAAAAGAAGCACATATATCAAACATTATCACCTTGATCAGCTTCGAACTTTAATACTTTCATAGTGTATTCAACCGTGTTTGTACCTTTGCTTGTATATCATGGATAATTGTATTGATATTTGAGTTTCTGATTTTTAGAACTTTGAATTGCTTGAGGTAGAGAGCAACTGCAATATATGATATTGTCATACAATCCTAAATTAGCACTATATTAAATATTTTTCGAATTTTAAAAATTAAAAAAGAAGTCAATTCATACAGTTATTACCCATCTACACAACAGAATTAAACCCCATCAAAACCATTGCAGGAGTTATTTTTACACTAACATAGAGACAGGCACCAATGCTTGTAAAATCAAGCACATAGGAAAATGATGAACAATCTAGAAATAAAAAAAAAACAAAAATAACCTGAGAAATACCACTACTGGTTATTGGATAAAAAGAAATTAGTGAAAAAAGGGGACGAAGATCTACCAGTTAAACAAAGAAAATGCGAAAATGAAACAGCTAACACGTAAAAAATCATCACAGTTTTCCAATCGAGATGCGATAACAGACAAATACAGATCTAAACAACTAATACACTTTACAAGTGATGGAGAATCGAACGTTAATGTATGTATTTACGAACAGATACACATAGATAGAGAGAGGTGTTGAGGAAGTACCATCCGTGCAGGCGTTTATGTAGGTTTATTGTATATTCCCTTGCGACGACCTCCTCTTTCCTCGCCTTGCTACCCTTTTCCACCATTTTCGCCGCAGTTGCGACTCTACGTAATGTGTTGAATTTTTTTTTCCCGGTGCTACGAGCCACTGCTTCAAAAAAACCCTAACGGCTTTGAAGGGGTATATATCGGTTGCTTATGGTAATGAAGCTCACAGTTCGGGCCTAGGTCCGGCCCAAGTTAATGATTGGGTATAGAATCGGTTCACGGAATATGGAACGTTTAAAATCAGAAATAATCCCTTGTTTGGCTTTTTTATTTCCAAACTCTTTATTTCTCATATTATTTTCAATCAGACATTCATATAATAAGATATTTCACACGTAAATAAAAAAAAATTCTATTTTTTTTAGCCACACATTCACCAAAAAATTACTGTTCAAACATTATTTCCCCTAATTTTTTCATTATAGTTGAGTAGGGAGAGATAACCAATTCTCACCATGACCATATTACTATTTATATGTTTTTCTTTTTCTTTTTTTTTTTTAATTTCTGTTTTCACTATAAAATTCCAAGAACGAATAGCAACTTCAACTTGTACAAAGCAACTTGCTTATTATTGTTACCAGATACGTACGTCCTTTTCTTTTATGACTGGATACAGCGAATATCTAAAATAAATTGGGCCATATGAAAAATCATACAATTCAATTGTCAAGGGTAAAATGGGAACTTCATATCATCCTCTTAACTTACAGGCTACCGTTTGAGAGATAATAATATAAATGATCATTAAATTTTGCAAAAAGTTTTTAAGGGATCATTAAACTTTAAAAATCACCTAAATCATCACTGAACTTTAAAAATTACCAAATTCTTCATTAAATTTTGCAAAAAGTTTCCATGGAACCACTAAACTTTGAAAAAAGTTTTCTAGGAGATCACTGAATTAGTAATCCTTGGGAAATTTTTTGTAAAATTTAGTGATGAATGAAGTGATTTTTAAAGTTTAGAGACCTCGTGAAATTTTTTTGCAAAATTTAGTGATAATTTGAATAATTTTTAAAATTCAGTGATCCGGTAAAATTTTTTTGTAAAGTTTCAGTGACCATCTAGGTTATTATCTCTACAGTTTGATAAAGGTCAAGAAGCTTTATCTGATCCTCCAGGTTCCAACCACCCATTCTGGCGCACTCTGGACGCGATTCACTTTTTTATTGTATCACGTTGCATGATTTCATTGGATTTTAGTGGCGCGTCACATCAGTGCCAATATCTGTGTCTCAATCGTCTTTTGGACTAACCCAATCTCTCATTTCGTATTGATCCTGTTTATTGTATGCGTCCAAGAATATGTAATTTGTTAATAACACCTTATCAGAGTTTAGTGGTCCCTTATCTATAACCTATACTCTATTGAGGGTAATTAGCAAAAATAAACATATTGTTTGTACTCATTGTGAAAATGATCATTTCAATTCAAATTTACCGTTTATATCCTCATTTCAATCATTTCTTACAGAATTGGTCATTTCAATCGTATTATGTTAAATCCTTCTGATAAAAGTGTAATTTGATGCAAAACGTCCATATCGTTTGATTTAATTGTGCAAATAATCCATATCATTACAATTTTGATATTTGAACACTCAGATCGACATTTCTTTGCTTAAAAGATCATTTTTCATCCATTTTCTCCATTATAACATTATAAATTGATTAATTTATAATCATTTTTAAATAAACAAATAGAAAAAAAAAGTAATGTAAAAAAGTTGTATCTAGAGTTTCTAGTTTTTTTTTTTAATTACAAACGAATCTCACGTAAAACAATTTAAAACATTTTAATAAAAGAAAAATATTTTATTTTTCCAATTAATATATAAACGTTGCTCATTTGTAGTATTTTATCATCACAAAAAATTTAAATCATAGAAGTTGAGCTTTGAGAGTGAATTTTTCTTCTTCTAAATTTTATTTGTTTAGTTTGTTTGAACCTCATCAAATCCCACCCAACAAATTAGTATCAAATTTACTTTTATAGGCATTTATAAAGCATTTAAAAATAACGTGCAATAACTCTGACAAGTATGAACTAAGCATTCATTTGAAAAATGTTTTATATATCCTTTGTTTTGGGCTCCATTTTTTATTTTAATCGAAAAATGTGTGGTCGAAAAAATTAGAGAGAAATGTATTTTAAAAATAATGGGATCAAACAAGTGCTTTTTAGAAGATTTGCGAGATTATGTAGTTGGGAATTTCAATTTCACCTAGACAGTTAACATTCACTTAATTCAATATTGTACAACACTTCTTGTACGTGTTAACAATCAAATTATTCAATAAAAAATTATTTTAAAATAGTAATTCTTTGAAAAAGGTATGGTTAAAAAATAATTAAGTTTATATGTAATATTATTTTATTGAAAAATGTGTGATTACAAAAATAAAAGAGAAAAATTCATTTTAGTTAAAATGGAGCCCAAACAGGGCAAAGTGTCAAAAAAGAGTTCGATCAATTTTTTATCCCACAATATTTTAATGAAATTCACAAGCAATGCTCGTTTATTCACTACTTTCTTTTATATATTTGGTAAATATATTTTAAGTTCATAAGAATGTAAATACGAGCATATTTGATAGAGATAAAATTTTAATTTAAATTAATCAAATATATTTTTTTCGTCACATTTCATAAAACTTATAAGTCGGAGTTTATAAACACTTAAAACCACTACCAAATAAATACTTATTTTTTTCTTCAAAAAGTAAGTAAAGAGCATTGACTTTTTTCTTTTGAACCAACGGATTAAGGTGTTTGATAGAAGTTAAATACATTGTTATGAACAATGTTCTAAAAAACATAAAATGTGGTGTGGTGTGGTGTGGTGTGGTGTGGCGTGGCGTGGAGATCAAGTTTTCGGATTAGGTGAATCTAGGAGTAAAAAAAGGCAAAAAAAAAATGTTTTCTTATTTTAATATTATTTTAAAATTTTTTAATTAATCTAGAAATCATTTAAAAATTTGAAGAAAAATGTGTAAAAAAGAGCAATTAGGTGCAAAAAATAAAAAAGCCCAGACAGGATGTTTTGCATCCGCTCCGCGCCAAGGCTGTTTAGAACGCTGGTTATGAGAATCAGATCATTTGGTTGGAAACAAAACCTTGAGCCTGCCATTGGACTGGTTGACGCATACTTGGACCATTTTACAGAGAAATCAATCAAAACAGCTCTGAATTGGTCGATGTTGTATAAATTCAAACACTTTAAATCGAATTCAAATTAACTTTAAGTAATGTTATTTGTACATGATGATATACATAATGATAACATAGAAGGAAGATTATAATAACTGAATTTCTATGAGCTTAGTGTCGTGGTCGTCGTTTTTCATTATCGATTTTATTTTGGTGTGTGTCACATGAATAGGGTGACATGATTTTTAAATAATGGGCATTTGAGGCATTATATTTTGGACTAAATTTTACTCATTGAGAGTGAAAAGGTCATGATCTATCAAGACGGATATTGGTGATGGCAATGGGTAGGGTTCGAGGTGGGGCACTTCCGCTCTGTCCTGCCCTGTCCAAATCTAGCTTCGCTAGATGACAGGGCGGGGAGGGGAGGCAGCTTACCCCATTTGCTGCCCTTTTTCTTTTCATTTTTTTTTTATATTTTTCAAAAATTCGAGTTATGCTATTATTAAAGAATAAAATATAAATTTAAAATAGGCTTTTAACGGGTAAATTGTTTAAGAATAAAATTGTTTTTAATTTTTTTTCTCATCATGGCAGGCGAGTTCAGGGCGACGAGTTATGCCCCGTCAACCCGTTGGGACAGATTTTTTTGTCATCACTAATGAATTTATCGTCTATCACGCATCGAGCCTCCATGAAAACATTTTTTGTTGGTCAGCGTTGTAAAACCTATCATAGGAACAGGAATTGCCAAGGTCCGAACCACATTACGAGTTATTTCAGTACATTAGTAGATTATAAATTTGTTAATGAAATTCTGTAGGAAGTAAGTGATTGAGAGGGGGAAAATTGCTTAAATTAAATGTTGCTATTCTCTGTGTTGGCACTGGAAAAATTGATGTAGGTTTTTGTAAATATTATGCCCTAGGTCCAATCAACTTTGAACATAAATATTTTTTATATATAATTAATGCGATTTGTCAATTAATTAATTTAATAATCGTTGGATAAATTAATTAATTGGGTTGGTTATTTATAGACCCGAATTAATTAATTGGATTAATTAATTCACGAATCGAATTTAATTAAATAGATTAATTAAATATTGGATCGGACCGGACCAGACCAGACCTGTTTAGACTTATATAAATACATGGTTAGGGTTTTCAATCCACATGATTCTTCATAATTATTCTTGCTAGTACAAGAGGAGAAAACCCTGGTAGAATCTTGTTCTCTGTGTGGATCACCGTTGGAGGCTGAACAATTGGACAGCTGTGGATAGCGAATCAAGATTGTTGGAACGAAAAGAATAATAAAGAAGTTTGCAGATCTGGAAAAGGTACAATCTTCTCACAATTTCTATCTAAACACAAAGGCGATTCTTGATGGGAATCGAAATCTGTTTTAATTTTCCGCTGTGCATGTTAAGTAGATTTCCAACAGTAGTATCAGAACCTACTTTGTGCTTGTTAGAGATTGTTTTGAATTTTTGAATAATCAAATGTTGATTGTTTTGTTGTTTTCTTGTTTCTAACTTTTAAGTAAATTGATTTTCCTGTTTTATAAAATCAGTTTTGAAAAGTAAAATTAATTTTGGGTCGGAAAGAAAAAATAATAATACAAAGGTGGGATGTGGCTACTGCACCTTCATCAAGCAGCGTGACGCAGCAGCGTCGTCACGCTGCTGCAGGCGGCAGCCCCTGTTGCAATTGTGTTGGCGGCGTCGGTTGGCGTCGCCAAGGATTAAGTAAATAAAAGAAAAAATAATAATAATAATAAAATTATAGGGTTTACAGTCGGGTGTATGTGAATGAAGACGGGGGCCTCAACTGCAATTTGGGAAATTGCACGCTCCTGATTGCAATTATGGAAAAAGGGGTCAATTTGCAAATTTTGATATAAGGACCTGTTATGCGATTTATTAAATTGGAAGGGTTTGCTTATTATTTTAATCTTGGGTCAAAGTGCAATTTTTCAAATGAG